GTTGCGACAGAAGTTCGCGGCCTGCGGGCCCCATTCCGTGATGTTGCCGAACAGGATCTGCGCTGCCTGCTCGGGCTTAGGGGCGGGTGCTCCTGCCGTGGGCGGACCACTGGCGCGGGTCCCAGGCCCCTTAAGCCGAGCAGGCTGCTTGCGGCTACCCCAGCGACGGTGGGGCTCCTGCCGCTGCCGCTGGCACCGTGGTGGCGCCCTTGCCAATGCCCTTCGCTGCGAAGGCCAGCTCCCTGGCCCTGGCGGTGGTGGCGATGAGCTCGGCGGCGGCCTTGCGGTCCTCCACGGAGGGCTCGTCGGCGGCAGGGGCGGCTGCGGCGGGTCCAGGGGCGCCTCCAGGCTGACGTGGCTCAGCAGGTGGGGCGGCAAATCCTCCTGGCGTGCCAGGTTGTGCCTGTCCTCCAGGTGCGGCGGCTGGCTGCTGTTCAGCTGGTGGTACGGAAGGGTGCCCAGGCTCAGGAGCAGGTTGCTGAGCAGCAGGTGCTTCCCCATTCGGCTTCTTGCGCTTCGCAGGGTTGGTGGTGGACTCCTTGGCTTGACGTTGTTGAGCTCGGCGAGGCGCTGGTCGAGCTCTTGCTTCCACTGTTCCATCTGGGTGCGGGTGCCATCATCGTAAATGGAGAGGTCGTCCCACATTGAGCTGTCAACCTTGAAGGCTTCCTGAGGCCCCACAGGTGGTGCTCCGCGTACTGCTCCAGCGAGTTTGGCACTGTGGTCAGCTTGTGCCTTGGCGCATGCGTTCTGTGCCTGGACGAGGTCAAGGGCGGCTTGCTCTTGTTTGTCCACGGCGTCGTCGTACCACTGCTTGGCGGTCTCGACGTCGTCGACCGTTTGCTGGAACTTCTTCTCCCTGTCGGTGAGGACTGACAGCGCCGACTGGAGCACCTGCTCGGCTGTGCGGGCAGGCGGAGGCTTGTCGGGCTGCTGGAGGGCGTCCCTGAGGTTGCCGACGAGTTCGGCGTGCTTGGTGTCGCTGAGGAGCGTGCTGAGCGCGGCGAGGATGGCGTCCCTTGTAGGGGCGGCGGCCACTGGCGGCTCCTTCCACGGCGGCGGCTTGCTGGCTCCTGCCCAAGCCCCTGTGGGCTGGCTGTGTTCGGCAGGTGATGGAGCCAGCTGCTTGCCACAATAGAAACACTCGGACTTTCCCCTCCATGTCCATCGGTATCGGCACTGCTTGCAGACTATGTATTGGCTGGCTGGCTTCGACAGCTTGCCTGCCACCCAGGGGAGAACCGTCCACTGCTGGCTGCTCTTTTTGGCCAGATGCCTGGCAAGGCCGAGCCGACCGTGCGCGATTGGCTCTTCCGTTCGCAGCGCCGCAGCTGCTTTTGCGTGGCAGCCCGTGTGACCCCTGCAGGTGCGCGACGATCTCAAAATGCTTTCCCTCTTAGACTCGGGTTAAGGCGCTATTGGAGGCCATGGGGGGGGGGCCCCAATGGGTGTTAATGGTGCGTGTGTGTGTCAGAGTTCAAACAGATCAGCTTCCGGAGGCTCCGATGCTTGTGTTGGGGCTCCGCGGTGCGTGTGGCTGGGCGGCGTCTTGGCTGGTCTGGGATCCCTGCGGGCTCGAGCGTTGCCCCTGCTGCTGCTGATCAGGCCCCCGCCCCCCCCGACCCCGTGCATGGGCCCGGCGTCCCAAATCGTATCTGGAAGTGCCGAGAGCTCGTCGGGAATCAAAGAGCAGCAGGGGTGGCGCGCTCATGCGCGGCTCTGCCGAGAAGGGGCACACGGGCAAAGAGCTTTCTAACACATATCAGCAGTGACACACCAGTGTCCTTCGTGCGTGATTGCGCATCTTACGCGTGCTATTACTCGTGAACATTACAGACGTCTTTTTCTACGTGAGGCTTGTCAGTGTGGTCGCAGTCCTCTTCGTCATGAGATTGTGGATCCGCGCTCGCATGTCTGCCCTGCGCGCAGTGGGGTCATTCTACCCTGTCTTGCCAAGCTCCAAGTCCACATTTGATCGCGCGTGGACCTCTCGGGCGCTGTTCTTTCCCTCGCTATCGATGGCGCAGCGCGTGCTGCAGTTCTTGCCGACGGATCTGGAGATTGCCAACGAACGGTTGGCCGAGAGTTCTCCGATGAACTTGTTCGTGGTTTTTGGGGCTCACGAGTGCGATGTTTCGCTCGGGCCTGAACTGGAGATCCATCTCGTTATCGTCATGAATTTCATTGTGGGGCACTGGATTTGGGATTTTGAAGGGTTCCAGCAGCGTGTTGACGGCGACATGTCTCGATGTCAGGGCCCGATTGTGTAGTGTGCTCATGCTGAAAATCCCCCATCCCTCCTGCTGTTCTGTATGATCTTTACTGTCATCTGATGGGCGCGCGTGGAGCTGGTCTTCCTGCTGCCATGCGAGAGATGATGGTGGTCCTTCTTGCCAAGGGGGATCACCCATCCGATCTGTCCTCCTTGCCTTCCCGATCTCCCAGCACCTGCCGCCCTCTTGTCATGGCCAACGCTGATTGTAATATCATGTCCCTTGCATTCTCTCGGCGTCTTGAGAAGGTGGCTCGGGCAACGTTGCGCCGAGTCCAAGCGTGCATCCGCGGTCGTTCCATGACGAATCAGATTTTGGAAGCTGAAGCGCGGGGTGTTCAACGGTTCGTGATTGGGCGAGATCCGGCGTGCACGTTTCCGGTTGATTTGGCGGCTGCGTTTCCGAGCCTTGCTATCCCCTAGCTTGTTCGGGCCTTGGTGGTTTTGCAGATCAATATCGGGATCGTTGGTTTCTGTGGGGCACTGTATTGTGAACATGTTGGGGTTGTCTGTTTTGAAGATGCGAGGCACAGGGCCATTCGTCTCCCTCGGGGTGTCCGTTAAGTTTGCCCATCCATCATGCTCCTCCTCTTGGCTCTGGAATTAGACCCGTGTTTGAGATGGCTGTCGCAGCGTCTTCCTCGGCAGATTCGTGCTTATGCAGATGATCTATGGTTCGGGTTCATGGACGTGGTCATTGAGTTGCCACTACTTGTGCCTCTCCTGCAGCGGCTCGGCCCTGGCGCCGGGCTTGCGCCGGGAGCTGCGTGCTGATTCACTGTGGTCGTCAGCTTAATGAGCGCATGGTTTGCCACATTTTGAGGCTTCTCGGCGACTTAGGCCCTGTGGCCTCTTCGATTTCCCTGGTTCGGCATGCCCGTTCTCTCGGCATTCAGATTGGGCCTGATGGATGGACACATGCTTGGTGGAGTGCTCTTAGGGAATATGATCAGCGTTGCATCTAAGTACGTCGCCATCGGCTTGGGCTTGCTATGCCGATTCGTACGTGCGTGATATTTGCACAGGTTTGTGATGCAGTTCTACCCGCTGTCTCGTGACGTATTCAATTGTAAAGGTAGCGCGCATCAAAAACTCATGGCCGCCCCTCGGTTTGCTTTCACACTCGGTCATGTGCGCGCGTTTTTGCGATCTTGGGCTGGGTCTGGACATTCCGGATCCGTCGCAGATATGTGCGGCTATGCGAGTGCGAGTGGCGCACAGGAGTGGTGTTTTCTGTGGGAGCCGTCATGTGATGGACGGGTTGGTCTGGCAGGATGAGTTCCACCCTGCGCGAATGAGGTACTCCTGGTGGCAGAAGTCATTCAGTCGCACGTTGATTGAGACATGGAGTTGCAATTTATTTATATACGTATAAATAGACACATATGTATATCTACATATGTATATATCAGGTGCTTGCTCTCGTCTGAAAGCGGGGTTTCGAAAACGGCTCACTCGTATTATGAGGGCCCGTCCCGCCAACTGCGGGTGGTGATGTGGATTCCAGAGGTCACTACTGTCGCCGAAATTCCAGGTGTCATTGAGGTGTAATTTCAGGAAGACAGTGCCTTCTATCTTGGGCTCGCTGTATTACGGGTCTTGGCTAGAGGTGTCTGTGTCGGCGCTAGATTTCATCATCGTGGGCCTGCACGTTGCTGCTGGAACTGTGGCAGTCTTGGGGCAATAGGTTCCACGGGGGCATTGTGCCGTCTGTCCAGAATTTCGAGGTCTGAGCCTAGACCTCGCCCCGTGCCTCCTTCCGTTTCTCAGCGAAGAGTCCTGGTTCCGATGCTTGACCCTGGCCCCCCCCCGTTTTTCCAGCAGCGTCTGATGTGTGCTGGTCTCCCGGGTGGATTTCTGTTCGCTCAAGCCAGCATCCGTGAGGGCTCCGCTGTTCTCCCGCAGGATCTCTTTAGGGGCCGTATTCGTCTGCGCTGCCGTCGGCACCCTCTCATCTCTTCTACCTGGGGTGAGGCCCGAGGAGGCTGATCGCAGGTGAGGTGCGTATTCTCTCCCTTTCCTTTCTTCATGTTGCCGGCCGCCGCAGAAGGGAGGCGCCTGCCATTTGCTGTTCGGGTTCCCCGAAAGCTGCTTTCTTGCGTCGTTCCCGGTTTTTATTCCCTAGACAGTGCTCCGTCGGGGTCCACTGGCCGGCTGAGGAGGCAAGCCTTCGGTCTGGGTTGAATTGGGCTCTGAAGATGTTGTATCTCGTGCTTGTTTCTTCCGCCGCAGGTTTCCTATGAATTTACAGGCTCCTACCCGCGAGAGAGAGCTCTCCTGCCGCCGATGGGTGGCTCCTTTGTTGGCCATCGGATCAACGGTTTAGCAGGGCTGATCGCCCTCTCACCTCTCGTTAGGGGTGTGCACCCAGCGGGGAGATATTTTTGTACTTGTTTGACTGTATTGGTTAGGCTGGAGAGTACAGTTTTGCTGGTCATCGATTGTCATGGGACCATCATCAGTCCGCTTAGAGGAAAATCATCATCACCGACAACATCATCACCAACATCATCATCATCATCATCATCATCATCATCATCATCGTCCCCCTGACTCCCTCCCTTCCTCCCTTCCTCGCTTCCTCCCTCCCTCCTCCTCCGCGTCCTCGTCCTTCCCATCTTCCTCCTCTTCCCCTTCTTCCTCCTCCTCCTCCTCCTCCTCCTCCTCCTCCTTCTCCTCCTCCTCCTACTCCCCTTTCCTTCCGTCCATCCGTTCTTTATCCTCCTGACCATTCTTGCCCTCCCCCGCTTCCTCTTTCGCGCCTCCTCCTCCGCCTTCCCACGCTCCCCGCCCCCGCGCTGCTCGCAGCCCCCAGGCGTTCGCCGGCCGCCAGCCGCCCGCCCTGCTGGGACGTGAGGACGCGAGCGGTGCGCGGGGGCCGCTGGGTCTGAGGCCCGCCGCCCGCGCTGCTTTCGGGCCTTGCCGGAGGTGGCCTCTGGCCCAGCCCCGGCCCGCTGCTCGCCCCATTTCCGGGTCAGACGCCAGGTCGGCCCCATCCTCGCAGCAGGTCCGCGTCGTGTGCCGGCGCGGCGGCGGTCCCCGCGTGAGCGGCCGAGTTTTTGAAGGATTCCGTGCTGGCTCGCGGAGCAGGGCGCAAGTCGTGGGCGCCCAGGGGGGGTGAAAAATGGGGTGGTGGTGGGTGTCATGGTAGGTCGGAAGCTGGAACAGATACATTACCAGTGGCGGGTTTGTTTCAACCCCACGACTTTTTGAGGGTCGGGGACGACGTCGGGGTGGTGTGGTGTACACTTTCCCCAGTTTTCCAATGGAACTCACGAACAATGTATACACCAGGATCCCGTAGACACCAGGATCCGCGTTCCTGTGCGAATCTCAGCGCAGGGTCGGAAAGAGCGTCGGTGTATAGAGCTCGTTTCCCTAGCAAGGTGGTATTGCAGATTTCCAAGGGGGCCAGCTTGGGGGCCCGTTGGGGGTCTGAGGTGGTCCCGCACTGGTGCTGGCCAGCAGGGAAGGCGGGCAGGTTCGAGGCATTCGGTTCTATCAGTTTTTTTGTATGTTTTTTCTGCCTCCAGGGGCCGTTTTCGGGCCCCGGGGCCGTCAACAACGAATCCGGGTGAAACGTTGAACTCGAGGGACCCGAGGAAGGTCCTGGGGACCGATCGTGAGAGGAGTTGGCCCCGTGCCTCCCTCCTGGCCGATCTCCTGGGTTCCCAGCCGGTGCAGACCTCCTGGCCGCCTCCCAGCCCAGTTGGCTTCCCGGGGTGCCCTTCGCGGGGCCAGGAGGGCCCCCCGGGGCTCCAAAGTTGCGCGACAGACCAGGGGCACCGCGTGCCAGGAACGCGTTTGGCAGCGCCGGACCCCGCGGACGCCGCATTCCTTCTGCTGGTCGTCAGTGTCGTCGCCGCCGTCGGCGTCGTCGTCGGCCTCCCCCTCCCCCCTTGGGCTGCTCCCCCCCCCTGGTTTTCGTTTTCCTGTTTCCTGCTTCTTCTCTACCTCCTCCGCTGTCCTGGCCCTCCTGTTCCTTTTGCTCGGGATGGCTACGTTCACCATGAACTGACCAGGGAATTGCCACTCATAGCTATCAGTGGCAGAACGGCGCAACTTGTTTTGTTCGATTGAGAGCCGCAGGGGCCGCGCGATCGGGATCTGCACCGTGGTGGAGAGAGCAGCATACAACGAGTCCTGCACGTGGGGCCATATGTGGCGATCACGGTGCGACCAGCGCGATGCGGTGCATCATGGCCGGGTTGAGCCGGACGGCGCTGAGCACTACGAGCAATTTTCGTCTCATGTCGACAGGTCGAGCTTCCATTTGCCAGGTCAGTGCCAACGGCCAGTCGTCGACCAAATGGGTGTTAGGCTAGGGGCAGCACAACGTCGAGCATCCTATCGTCGAGTTGCACATCGTCGGTCACACACTTGCTGTGCCCAAGGGGTCGATCGGCAGCCTGACGTGGACTCCCACGGTGAAGTACAGCATTGTGTCGATTACCGTTTGGGCGAGTGGCACGGCTGCGCAGGCAGCTTGTTTTTTCGCAACACGTTGGAGTGCTGTAGCCCGGTTCCGCCTTCAAGAGCGGGCTTGAGGCTTGCATGCCTTCCGTGGAACATCACGGCTGCTACCAGCATCGTCAGCTTGGTGGGATAGAGTCCCAGCACGACACGTGCCTTCCCCGATGCCCCTTGCCCATTCAGGCGCCACATGGGTCCGTAGCTCGTCGGGCCCCAGCAGAACAGAGTCGAACGGTACGATGGTCAGGCGTGCGCTGGAGTGCAGCTGCACAGGCGCAGCGCCCACGAGTTGCACAAAGGCACGTTGCTCCTCCTCCTGAAACAGTGCCCCTGAAGGATCGGGCCGGGCGAGAGGGGGGGATTGGGAAAGGGGGGGGGTACGAAATTTGCTGCGTGCAGCTGGTTTCGGGCCCATTCCTCGATGCATGGGCGCCTCCCGGCGCCGGGAGGCGCCGGGAAAATCAGCTACGTGAGCTGATTCTCAAATTCCCCCTTTGCTTATTCCCCCCCCTTTTCGCCCGACCCGAGAGGATGGCGATGCGGTGCGCGTCGGTCGGCAGCTCGGCGGCGAGAGCTGCGCCCGCCGCGCCGTGCGGCCCCCACGGAGCGTCGGGCGAAAGGGGCCCCGTTGCGCGCGGCCCATGGGGGGGGGCAGGGAGCCCCGGGTGCGCGCGGCCGTGGGGGCGGAACCCGAGCGCGCGCGGCCCGGGGGGGCAGGGCTCCCGGGTGGCTCGGGGGCGGAAGAGAGGGGGGTGATGACAACCCAGACCCCGTCGGGTCATGAAAAAATCACGACGGGAGGTTTTTCGCAAATTTTGGGCCTCTGGGGGCCCTTACCGGGCCTCGGGACCGTCAAAAAACAATTCAGGGTGAAGAACCGGTCCCGGGGAATGGGTCCAGACCTCTGGGGGTCGCGTCATGAAGAAATCATGACGTCGGGGGTCTGGGTAGGGGGGTGGATATCCTGGCGCGGGCCATGATTTTTCCCCAGATTTCACGGCGCCTCTTCTTGCTTCATTGCGTCCCTGGCCCCCCCGCTGGGCGGCGCACATGCCGCCGGTCATGATTTGCACCCCCCCCTCTTGGACGCCCCCCTCTTGGCCGCTCCCGAGTGGCGCGAACACGGAACACGGGAGGTTGGGTGCGCGCGGCCCGGGGAGCTGGAACTCGGGTGCACGGCGAGCAGCTGGGAGGAATCGCTCGTTGCTTCCGAGCCCCCCGCCTGCGCTGCTGTGCAGTCGGTGATTGCGCAGTGATGGATCTGGCAGTTCAGTGCGCTTCCTGCATCTGGGCAGGTATGGCGGCAGTGTTGACCAGTGCTTTCTCCCGCTCGCCCGTTACATTGATTCATTCGGCACTCGGATGCACAGCCCGCGCGCCTTCTCTACTTCACTTCAGTCATGGCGTGCAGAGTGCCCTTGCAGCATGTAGAGTGCCCTTGGAGCCTGTTCGCCCCTATTAGTGGCCCGCGCGACGCTACCGCTACTCCTTTATGCATCCCGTGCGGCAGCAAGAACGGACCACCTCACGCCTTTTCGCAGCTACCACGTGCGGCAGCCGTGGATGACATGCCTAGCCTGGAAGAAAGGTGTGATGGCACGCGTGTCACTGGTATGTCTCCTCCTTCGAACATCTCAGGGGTCCTTCCAGAACCTTCCGAAGTCCTCGGACCCAGCCCGCCAGATCCCTTCCAGAGAGCATTCGGGGTCTGTCTCCTGGTCCCACACGCAGGGCCCACTTCGATTCGATCGATCCGATCCGATGTCGAGTTCACCAGGCTCGATCCGATTCGGTTTCGAACTCCTGGCGATCTGATGCGGCCAGATGCTTGCATGATTAGCGTGGCTGCGCGTCCCGGCGCGGCCGATTCCGAACCGATGCAGCCTGAGTCGATGCTCGCTCGCTCCGATCCGACTCGATTTCGCGATTCGATGCTGGCTGATCCAGAGACGCGGCGGCGCGCGGGCGTGGCGGGGTCGCGCGCGTCGCTTCGCGCACGCCGGAGGTGCTTCGAGGAGAAGTCGCAGACGCACATGAGGCACGTCGGGGTCTCCGACGTCCAGGGCGCCGACTTCAACTTCGAGTCCAGGGGCAAGAGGCCGATCCCCTCGGAGTGGAAGGGGGGAGGGGAGGGGTTCCTCCCCCTCCTCCTCCTCCTGCGGGAGGGGAGAGGTGCCCCCCCTTCCTCCTCCTCCTCTTCCTCCTCCTCCTCTTCCTCCTCCTCCTGCTCCTCCTCCTCCTCCTCCTCCCCGTCCTCCCCCCCCCCCCTCCTTCCTCCTCCTCCTCTTTTCTCCTCTGGTCTCCCCCTCCTCCTCCTCCTCCTCCTCCTCCTCCTGCTCCTCCTCCTCCTCCTCCTCGTCCTCCCCCCCTCCTTCCTCCTCCTCCTCCTCCTCCTCCTCCTCTTTTCTCCTCTGGTCTCCCCCTCCTTCTCCTCCTCGTCGTCCTCCTCCTCCTCCTCCACCAAGTCGGGGAGGAGGGGATAGAGAAGGGGAGGAGGCGGAGCAGGACGAATGGTGGTCTCGGGGCCGCTTACAGGCATGCCGAAGGTCATCCACATGGGCCATCTTGCGCCGTCTTGGAGGCAGTTTTGGGTTATTTGGGAGGCAGATGGTGCCAAATTGGGCGCTGCTACCACTCGAGCCCCCTGTCCAGACTCCAGGAAAGGGGACGTTTCCCCGCAGGGGGATGCGGGGGTTGGAAGGGAGTTCGGGGGTTGGAGGAGGGAATCCGTTAAACCACTCACGCCTACAGGGTTGGTTGTGACGGATGTAGGTGAACATGTCATTCAAGATATTATACTCGCGAAACAACTACATGCCATCCTCAGCAAGAAATATGCACAAGACCAAATTGAACTCGGGGCACTTTGGGCTCATCCAATACTTCCAGCTGCCGCTACTTAAGGCCCTTACACAAGCTGCGGATATCCCACCCCATATCCTCAAACTCGAGCTTTCCAGCAGCTTGAGTTCCACAAGTGTTGGCGACGTGCTGACCGTGGTGGCCCGAAGTGTCGTGTCCCCTCTCATGCTTGGGCGGCAGCCCAAGGCTCACAAGAGGGGGGACAGAGCACTCCCGTCTCGAGCTACTTCGGACGTTTCTTTTTCGCCAGTTAGCTCCAGATAGCGACCTCTGAATCTGGTTGTGGTACCATCTTGGCTCCCCCCAGAGACATCACATTCTTCTTGTACATGGGCCTTGCTCTGAAGCCTCTGGGGTCGAGTCCTTGATCCCCCCCTGCACCCAAGCCATTTTCGATGTGAACATGTACATCTGCTTTCGATTGTGCTCGCTCGGATGGTCTGGAAACCTTTTGTTTTTCATGGCACATGTGATCTCGTGCGTGTCGTCCTCCCGTGTCTGTGCAAGATGAACCATCGCCATTGTTAAACAAGCATCCAAACGATTAGGTCACCAACATTTCTTTGGTACCCGCTTTGTGCATGCGATAATCCCTGGGGAGAAGGCGAATCACGTCGGCATCTCCACATTCCTTTGGAGCATTCACTTCTGGGCTTCTTCCCAGCTGGCATGTCCCGGCAACAACTCTACCTTCGGCGACAGCAATGTCGTCAAATGTCGGCCATCTGAAACAACAACGTACGCATTAGTAGAGGGACCGTGTCGCATTCGAAGAAACACTAAAACATTGAGCCCCACCTACAGCAGAAATGCACGAGGATGGGGTAGAGGGGGTCGCCCGCAAGCCGCCCCAGAAACCAGTTACAGTTGTGCTACATCCGCGGCCGTGTTCTGCCATGTGTTTTAAGTGGGAGCCCAACTAACTCTCGACGATGCTTGCAATCACTCTTAAGGCTTACGCCAAATCCGCTGACCCCTTGTTTTTGTTCTGGGGACTCTTTCTCGGCATTTGAAGCGCGCCACGGCACTCAATTGGGCTGTCTTGGTCTCCGTCGAAGGCCGGGGTTCCGCCCGCGAGGCGTGGTCAAATTTCCAGTTCGGGCCCCCCCAGGGGGGGGTTATAGGGGGAAACCATCTCACACGCCTGGAGACCCACAAGAGGTTGGCGGATTTTCCTTACCATACAAGCTTCGGTTGTGATAGGGGGAAAAGGGATGGGAAGGGCCGCGTGCATGATTGTACGGTTTGTCATCCACAGGTACGTACTTGTTCTTCATCTTTCCACTTCGTGTCAACGCATTTAGTTGATGTTGAATGGTGGATCGTTTAGTTTTGTTCGAATGAAGTGAAGCATTTTTGTCAAAGGTATCCTGCCTTCTTTTGTGTGGGCTCAAGCAATGTCTGGGTCTTGCAATCGACACGGGCTGTCTAATATGCATATCTGTATGCATGTAACTACATATGTGTACATACATACACATACATACATGTGTATGTATGCGCACAGTTACACACATACATGCCGATCGATGTATTAGCGTACGGCTTTGGAATCCGCTGGCATTTACACGGGTCCGCATCTGGAGGTCGATGGGGCTTGCTGCAGTCCCCGAATCGAAGGCGAAAAACAGCCCTTTCGGGTAAGACGAACTTGAGTTCTTTTCCGATCTTTATCCAATAGGGCGCTACGGCAGCACGTCCACTTAGGGAAGACTCCACACCCCTATCCCTGGAATTTTCCATCAAATCAGCATCCATGTTTTCGGCACCAATGACACGTCGATCATTTTGAGTTCACCCCTCGGCATTAGCGCTGGAAACTCGCCGCTGGCGTCGGCTGTTCCTCCACATTTTTTTGACGATATCCTTCCCAGCCCGAGAACTCTTATCTCCAGAACGATACAGCCATTTATATTATCTTCTCCCAGTCGAGGTTTTAAGTCCTTGCTCCTGCCACTCTCGTTCCACTTTTCTTTTATCTTTTCGATCTGTTTCTGGAGATCCGAGCTCGCGTTCTGGATATTGACCTCCGTCTCCCTTTTCCTTTTTCAGACTGTACCTGAAAGACATTGGGACCATTCCTATGGGACCTGTCTGGAGCTCACTATCTCGTCGTAGCTTTCTTCGTGAACCTCTCACACCAGCATCAGTCCTAGACTTCGGGCGCCTCGAACTTTCAGGCCGGACCGGCTTTCTTCGAAACCATCGGATCCGGGAAACGGTCTGTCGGAGTAGGTGAGAGCACAAGCAGCCCACTCTCGCCAACTCGCCTCCTTCCCTGGGGTTGGGAGGGTCTACCTGCACTGGCACTGAGCCATGTCTCTCTCCTGATCCGAAACACGCGTGCAGCTTCAGCATTCTCCCGAGTCCGGTTTACGTCTTCAGGGCGGCGAGATCTGGACATCTCCACGGCTGCCGGCCAGCGGCGGTGGACATGTAATAAATCGCGTCGCCCACGTCCTGAGCCGCTCTTCGCCATCCTTCGGGAACTGGAGCATATGCATTACCAGTGGCGGGCGGTTTATCAATCCCGGGACATTTTGAGGGTCGGGGACGACGTCGGGGTGGTGTGGTGTATATCTGTTCCCCGTTTTCCCAGGGAGACAACGAGGAATGTGTACACCAGGATCCCGTCTACGCCAGGATCCGCACACCTGTGCGAGACTCGGTGTGAGGCCAGACGAAGGCGTCGGTGTATACAGCTCGGCTCCTTAACTTCCCTCCACCTCCCGCCCTCCCTCACCACCCACCAAACCACCCCAACCCAACCCGAAGGCCTCAAATTGACCTCCATTTCCAGTGGGGGGGGGGTCGGGGAACGTCGAGAAAACACACATATGGAACCTGTACCCCCCCCCGAACCCGAAATTCGGGTCTCCGGGTTGGGTTGGGGTGGCCTGGTAGGTAGTCGCTCCCCGCCCCCCGCTCGGCCGGCGGCGCGCCCCGCGGCGCGCGCCCCAGGCGCTTCGGCGCCTGCGCCTCGCGCATGGTGGCCGCCGGGACGTCGGCCGGGGACGACGAGGGCGTGGCGCACGCGAGCCGGCCCGCGGACCGCAGGCCGGCGGGCGGGGGGCTCGGCGCCCTCGCAGGCTCATCTCGACTCCTCCGATTCGATTCGATTCGATTTCGGTGGCTTCCGATTCCGATTCGATTCGACTTGGGATTCCGACTCGGATTCCGACTTCTTATGGGACGCGCAGTAGCCTGCCGATTTCCGCCGATCCGGCTTTTCTCGACTCGGCTGCCGATTTCCGCCGATCCGATTCATTTCGATCGCCGATCCGACTTATCGATTCGATTATGGGCTCTCCTGCGCACCGCAGGGGTGGGGGCTCCGGCCAGCAGCAGTTCTCGCAGGCCCAGAGATGGACACCAGCACCAGCATCGGCGGTGTGCCTCCACCGAGGGAGGAAAGATGCCGATCTCGGTGATGGTGGTAATGTTCTGGCTTCCAAGGTGGCCGAAAGATTACCACCAACATCGAGATCTGGGATCATCTCCCCCCTGCGGAGGCAGCCCCCTGTCTTGGTGATGGTGCCCATTTCCAGGCCTCCAAAGTTCTGGTTCATGACGCAGCACCCCGCAGTTGCAGGTAATGAAGAGTGAGGGATGGGTCGCGGGGTGGGTCGCGGGGCGGGTCGCGGGGTGCGTCGCGGGGTGCGTCGCGGGTAGGTCGCGGGGTGGAGGTGCACAACAGGCAACAACAAAAACATAATCTGGCACCCAGGGATGGTGTACGACCAGTCGGTCCCCTCACTCGGATCGCTTGCAGCTCTTGCTCATCTTGAGCTGGATTCGCTGTCGGTGCCTCCGCGGGCGTTGACCACGTGAGGCAGAAGGGCACCTGCCCAGCAGCGGCCGCCGTCGGCTTTGGACAGCATTTGTCAGGAGGGGAAAAAAACACACAGACACAGTTCATCGTCGACTCCCAGGAAGATATGGGAACACATGGGAAGTGGGGGGGAGACAGAAACCCAGAAGATGTGGGAAAACATGGGGCATCTATTTACTTGTGTGTATCTACACCTTAGGCGATGCTTAAGAAAACCTAAGTTTTCGGCCAGAGTCTCGATTATTCTTAATGTTTCAATGTAAATCCTAAGATCTGAATGGGCATTCTGGGCTTTTATTTAAATTCTGAGACTATCAATTTCTTAACCCATGATTTCTAAAGCATTCCGCAGGGTGTATTTGTGTGTCCTTGGGCCCCTTGAATCTGCTGCTGGGCACTGCTGCTCCTGCTTCCCCGCCACCGTTTCGGGCGCCCGAGGAGGGGCCTCTCCGGGAGGCCCCGCGTGGCCGACCGGCGGGGTCCGCGCCTCGACATGCCCTGCATATGTGGCACCGCAGGCGAGGTCCGGGGATCGCTTTTGCGACCCCCGAGCCCAGATCTCCGACTTTTTTTTTTTTTTTTTTTTTTTTGTTTTGTTTTTTTGTATTTGTCGGCTTCTTTTCGATCTTGGCCCTCGGGGACCTGCTACTGGGCCCCGGCCGTGGTCCTCAGAAGGACATCGGGGGCGAAAAGCTACCCACATCGCAGGAGTGGGGACCTTTCTGGGGCCGCGGACCGACAGATCCAGTCGGCGGGTGTTCGGGGCCGCTTCCCGCATCCCGGGGGTGGCCCTTGCTGGGCGCTGGGGCCGTCAAGAAGCTGCTCGGGATGGAAGTCACCATTTCCGGGGAAGGTGTCCAGATCTTTAGGGAGCCGCGTTGCGAACAACATCGCGGCGTCCCATGTTTGGGATCGGCGCGATCGAAATGGGTGCGGAAAGATTGGGTACGAAGACCGATAGCAGTTCATGTTCATTTTGAGCAGGACTCGCTGTCGGTTTCGCCGCGGACGGTCTCCATTTGAGACAAGGCCGCCGCCTGCCCAGCAGCGGCCGCCGTCGGCTCTGGACAACATTTGTTGTTGGGCATTGTAGCTGTTTTTCCCGTACCCACTTCGGGCGTCCAAATGGGACGGTGGGGGCCCGAGGGGCTCCAGAAGGCAGCGAAAAGCTGGGGCCCCCCTGGGCCAGGGCCACCTTGAGCAGCCCCCAATGCGTGGCCAACCAATCAATGTGGCACTCGTCAGGTGAAGCTTGCCCTCCTCGTCGTCCTCGTCCTCCTCGTCCTTGTCTACCTCCACCTCCTCCTCCTCCTCCTCCTCCTCCTCCTCCTCCTCCTCCACCTCCACCTCCACCTCCACCTCCACCTCCTCCTCCTCCTCCTCCTCCTCCTCCTCCTCCTCCTCCACCTCCACCTCCACCTCCTCCTCCTCCTCCTCCTCCTCCTCCTCCTCCTCCTCCTCCTCCTCCTCCTCCTCCTCCTCCTCCTCCTCCTCCTCCTCCTCCTCCTCCTCCTCCTCCTCCTCCCCCCCGCTCCCCCCCGCTTCCTCGAAGCTGGCCGCGGCCGCCCGACGCCAGAGGCCCCACGCCGCCGAGGGCACGCACTTCGCGGACGGCGGCGCCATGTGCGGGCTCGGCGGAGGGCCCCCGGCCGCCGCCCTGGCGACGCCGCCGGTGAAATCTCTAGGCGCGCGCGTGGGAGGGGTCGGGGCTCGCGCGACGGGGGTCAGCGCCAGCGGGGTCAGCCCGACCAGGGTCTCGAAGCCACGTGGGGCCAATGTCCCCTGAGCGGCCGGCCGAGCTTCGCGACGGGGCCCTGGCCGACCCGATTTCGGGCTGACCCGTGTGAGTGCGTCCCCGACCGCGGGGGAGAGGCGGGGTGGAGGGCAGGGCAGGCTCGGTTTTCGGACGCGTTCGCGGGGTCTCGTGATTTTCCAGCCTCGGGATGGCTCCCAGCGGCTACGCCTCGCCGAGAGCGCTCCCGGGGTGCCAGAATCGTCCCGAACGGCCCCCAGAGAGCCGAGTTGAGGCCCGAGATCGAAGGGGCAACGTTAAAATGGCATAGGCTCAGGGCGGGGATGGGTCGACCCCCAACCGCCACTGATCGCCGACATGATGATGATGCTGATGATGATGATGCTGATGATGATGATGCTGATGATGCTGCTGATGATGATGATGCTGATGATGCTGCTACTGATGCTGATGCTGATATGGATGATGACGATGATGATGCTGCTGTTGATCATGATGCTGATGCTGCTGATGATGCTGATGATGATGCTGCTGCTGATGATGATGCTGCTGATGATCATGATCATGAGGATGCTGATGATGCTGATGATGCTGATGCTGATGCTGATGCTGATGATGATGGTGATGGTGATGGTGAACATGATTATACTGATGAGGAGGACGATGATGATGACAATGATGATAGTCATTGTGCTCATGATGATGGTGATGATGCTGATGATGCTGATGATGACGATGATGATGACGATGCTGATGATGATGATGATGATGACGCCGATGATGATGATGATGATGATGATGATGATGATGATGATGATGATGATGCAGATGATGCAGATGATGATGCTGATGATGACGATGATGATTATGATGATGATGCTGATGCTGATGATGATGCTGATGATTATGATGATGATGCTGATGATGATGCTGATGATGCTGATGAGGACGATGATGATGATGCTGATTGTGATGATGACGATGCTGATGCTGATGACGATGATGCTGATGATGATGCTGATGATTCTGATGATGATGCTGATGATGAAGATGCTGATGATGAAGATGATGCTGATGATGATGCTGATGATGCTGATGCTGCTGATGCTGCTGATGCTGATGCTGCTGATGCTGATGCTGATGCTGCTGCTGATGATGATGCTGATGGTGGTGATGATGGTGTTGCTGATGATGATGATGCTGCTGCTGCTGATGATGATGATGATGCTGATGATGATGATGATGATGATGATGATGAGGATGATGCTGCTGCTGCTGCTGATGATGATGATGCTGATGAAGATGATGATGATGATGATGATCATGATGAGGATGATGATGATGATGATGATGATGATGATGATGATGATGATGATGATGATGATGCTGATTTATGACGATGATGATGCTGATGATGATGATCAGCAGGAGGAGGATGAGGAGGATGATGATGATGATAATAATTTTTCTGTTGGTGGTTTTGTCGGTGGTGATGTTGATGACGGTGATGATCCGACGCGCGGAGGGAGGGAGGCTCGCGGGGAGTGCGCGCTTCTTCTCGGCGACGCCCCGCAACCCGCTTGTCAGCTCATCACCCGCAGGAAGGCACCGCTTCCAAATCGCCGTTCCGTTTCCGTGCGGCCTGCTCCCGACGGGGCCAGCCTGTCGTGTGTGCTCGGTCTCTCTCGGTGTTGGCAGGGGTTTTTGCCGCGCTGGCAGCCGACCAGAGGCTGCCAGCCGAGAGTGCTTTGGTGCGCACTTCCCTTCCCGTCCCTTCCCTCGCCTTCCACTCTGATGCAGCCAACTAGCTCTCCAGCGCGCCCGAATTACTCTTAAGCTTCCAGCAATAACTTGCTGAGGGAAGCTCTACGAGTTACTGGGCGCCGGCGGTAAACCGTCAACCTTCCTTACCGCCGGGGGACTCGTAGAGCTTCCTGACAATATAAAATGTATGGTGAGGGAGGAGGGGGCTCGTGCCCCTTCCATCGACGATGGGACCTTTCTGGCAGTCGTATCAACGAACGAATTTGCAATGAACTTGTGCATCGGCGAGGCGCGCGCGAGAGGCCATCAAACAAACCTCGCCGCCACAGTCGCAGTTGGGCAGGAGTCCAGGGGAGGACAGTCCAGCCCAAACGATCTGGAGGACAATCCAGCCTTCACCCCTCCCCCTCCCCCTCCCCCCTGCCCCTCCGTGTTTGTTGACCCTTGGCCTCCTTGGCCCCCTCCTTCACCCCCGACACCACCCTCCTCCCTCCTCCCCCTCCCCCCACTCCGCCAGCCGCCTCGCTGCGGGCCCCTCCTCCCTTCTCTCTAGGAGGCGTGCTGGTTCTTGCGAATATGCCGAGGCTGCCCCGAGGCCGCTAGGCCGACTCGTGGCAGTGCGGTCAGGACTCACCGAGCGCGTTCCACCACTCGCAGAGTGCCTGCTCGCAAACGCCCCCGAAAAACACGTGCCCGCTTCGATGTAATTCCTCGTAGATTCCCCGCGGCGGATCCAGGCCATGTGCGAGCAGTGGAGCGCACTCGTCTAAGGAGAATCGCATCCCCCAAGCTGGCCGTTGCGTGCTCGCTATGTTCACCAGAAGCCGGCTCCGCGGGGTCTTACACCTCCTGTTTTCTCCTTCGACGCACGGGGAGCAAACATCTGCATGACAACCTATTTTTGGTTGGAGGTCCTCGTGGATTTCTCGAATCGGCGCTGGAGCCCCCTGGCGGCGCCTCCAGCGCCGCCCCCTGGCGCGCTCCGCGCGCCAGGGAGCGGGGTCCAGTGCCGATCCGAGCAGCCCGCGCGGTTTCTGTGTACGCAGTTTGTTCTTCCTCTACCTGCGCCCCCTCCCCCCCCCGCCCGCCCCTGCGCTCCCTCCCCCCCGCCCTGTTGTCCCTCTGCCCTCCGCCCCTCCCCCCCCCCCCCCCCCCCCCCCCCCTGCGCCCTCCCCTGCGCCACCTCCCCCCTGCGCCCCCTCCCCCCCCCTCCCCTCTTCCTCTACCTGCGCCCTGCTGCTCCTCTGCCTGCGCCCCCCCCATCCCCCGCTCCCCCGCTCCCCGCTCCCCGCGGGGCCCTTCGGCGGCGAGGGCGGAGGGCGCCCGGGGCGAGCGGGGGGCGGCCCCCCCTTTCGGAGGGGGGGCCCGGGCGGGGGCCGCCCTGGAAGGGCGCCCGGAGCACCCGCGCGGGCACCGCCTCCCGCCCTCCGATGGCGGGGGGGGCCTCTCCTGAGGCCGCTCCTCCAAGGGGAGGGCCTCCTCCTCCTCCTCCTCCTCCTCCTCCTCCTCCTCCTGCTCCTCACCACCACCATCCTCCTCCTCTTCCTTCCTCCTCCTCCTCCTCCTCCTTCTCGTCCTCCTCCTCCTCCTCCTCCTCCTCCTCCTCCTCCTCCTCTGGAAGGCCACGGCGGGGGGGGGCCTTCCGCGGAGGCCGCGCCCCCGAGGCCCCGGCGCTGCCCCTCGGCATGCCGCCCCGCCGAGCCTGGCCGTCGGAGGGGTTGGGCCGCGATCCGGGCAGGCGACCTGGGCGGCGGCGGCGGCGAGAAGCCCCGGCGCGGGCCGCGGCTCGGGCTTCCAGACCCGGCGAAGGCGCGGCGCGCGCCCGTGTGCCTCTATCGCTACACACATTTTGTATACACATATCTCGGTGTGCGCAAGGGGTGGGTTCATGAGGGGAAACAACACACAAACACAATTAATCGTCGATTCCCCAGAAAATATAGGAAAATTATCCCAGAGCGACCCTACCTAGGAGTTGGAGCCCCTAGGAGAGCAATATTAGTAGTAACGGTAAACGCCGTCCTCCTCCTTCTCCTCATCGTCGCAGTTGTAGCAGTAGCGGTAGTAGTAGTAGTAGTGTTATGCTATGCTATGCTATCCTGCGCTATGTTATGCTATGCTATGCTATGCTATGCTATGCTATGCTGGGCTATGCTATGCTATGCTGGGCTATGCTATGACATTGTATGCTGCGCTATGCTATGCTATGCTATGCTATGCTATGTTGCGCAATGCCGTGATATGCTATGATATGCTATGCTATGCTGTGATGTGCTGTGCTATGCAATGCTATGCTGCGCTGTACTATGCTAAGCAATGTTATGTTATGCTATGCGATGCAATGCTATGCTATGCTATGCGATGTTATGCAGAGCTATGCTGTGCTATGCTATGCTATGCTATGCTTGGCGATGCTATGCTATGCTATGCTGTGCTCATGCGGCGCTGCGCTATGCTGCGCTGCGCTAAGCTAAGCTAAGCTAAACTAAGCTAAGGTATGTTAAGCTAAGCTAAGCTAAGCTAGGCTAGGCGAAGCTAAGCTAAGCTAAACTGAGCTAAGCTAAACTAAGCCATGCTAAACTAAGCTAAGCCAAGCTATAAGCTCAACTAAGCTAAGCTAAGATGAGCTAGACTACGCTTAGCTAAGCTAGGCTAGGCAAAGCTAAGCTAAGCTAAGCTAAGCTAAGATGAGATAAGCTAAGCTAAGCTAAGCTAAGCCAAGCTAAGCTTAGCTAAGCTAAGCTAAGCTAAGATGGGTGAACCCAGGGGGCGGGGACTGGGGGAACCGCGGGGCGGGGACCGGGGGAACCGCCCGGGGCGCTTTCCATTGCCCGGCCCCTTTAAGCTAAGAGAGTAAGAACCCTTTTAGGCAGAGCCTAGGTAGGGAATATGGGAAGTGGGGGGGAGACAAAAGCCCAGAAAATATGAGAAACAATAGGGAATTATGTTATTTGTGTGTATTTTTTGTGTGTCCTGGGGCCCCTTCATGGGTGTGTATCTACCAAGAACTTTGCCAGCGTGGAGGACCCCAGGCAGTGAGTCATTGCACCGTGGACGTGGCAGCTCTGTGATATGCAAGCTGCGTGGTAGGCGCCATGTGGCGACGCGTCGACCTACCCCCCGAGGCGGCAGCGGGCGGCAACCTGACGGCCACGTGGCGAATCCTCGGCGCACCGAACGGTCCCTCGGGGAGAAACGTGCGCTCCGCTAAGTGCAAGCTCTGTTTTGGGAGTGTGATTCTGTGTGTGTGTGTATGTTGTGAATTCTCTTCGGCACCGCCTGTCCTCTGAGCCCTCCGGCCGCCTGGGGCCCTGCCCGCCCGCGCCCTGTCTCCCCAATTAGGGCCACTCGCGCCCCGTTTAGCCCTTGACCGGAAGGGGCCCGCTCCCGACCCGCAGGCCAAAGTTTTTTTGTGTTTTTTCGAGGAGGAGGAGGAGGAGGGGGAGGAGGAGGAGGAGGACAACAATGAAAGAGGAGGAGGAGGAGGAGGAGGAGGAGGAGGAGGAGGAGGAGGAGGAGGAGGAGGAGGAGGGGGAGGAGGAGGAGGGGAGGCGGGGGAGGAGGAGGAAAGACCCTTGTGTTCCGTTCCAGGTGTTTTTTTTGTTCCCTCAGTTTTGGCCTCCGGGGGGCCGTTCTCGGGCCCCGCGGGACCACCGAGCGACGCCGCTCCGGGACGAGGGGCTGCCCCCCCCAAGGATGGGCCGAGGCGTCTGTGGCCCGTGGGCTGGAGACTCAATCCGTCGGAGGTCTGTCCGCGGCGAGCGAGGGGGGGGCAGCGAGAAGGAGTCCCAGAAGGTTCGGAAGTCCCACGGCCCTCTGAGAAGTTTTCGGAGGTTTCCCCGAAGGCGCAGGACGCCTCTCAGAAGGCCGGGGGGCCTCTGAGGAGCCTCGCCGCCTCCTGAGAGGGCCTTCTCCTTCTCACTTGCCCCCCTTACTCGCCGCCGAATGCTGGTAGCCTGGCGCCCCGCCTGCGCCCCTTGCGTGGGTTGCCAGAGGTGGGTCTGGCCAGAGGTGCTCCAAGCCAAGCTTCTCGCGCCATCTAGCCCCATGGGGAGAGAATGCCGCTCCAGCAGAAGATGGCTCCAGCAGAGGTCGCTCCAGCAGAAGACCGAGCCGGCAGAAGCCGGTCCGGCAGGGAGCCGCTCGGGTAGACTGCTTCCCGGCCCACAACCAGTGCGTTTGTGATGGGTTGGTCATGTTGAGGCTTCGCGCGGACCCCTGCGCGGGCGGTGGCGGAGGGCGGGAAGCATCTGCTGCCAGGGCGGGGGATGAGGGACACGTCCCCTTGCGCAGGTGCCGCCACCACCTCCGTGCTCTCTCTTCAACCTTCTCCTCGCTCCACCGCCCGAGGCTCGAGAGGTCTCCAGGTGGAGTGCACTGGCTGACGCCCGTGGCGGAGGAGTCGGGGGGGTGGATTGCCTCAGAGGCCCTAGGGGAACGAAAAATGACATAAACATAAGAACTCGGAGGTCCGCGCGAATTTCTCGGATCGGCGCTGGGGCCCCCAGCGGCGCCTCCGGCGCCGCCCCTGGCGCGCTCCGCGCGCCAGGGAGGGGGGTCCAGCGCCGATCCGAGAAATCCGCGCGGACCTCCGAGTTTTATGTTTATGCCACTTTTTGTTCCCCTATCAGAGGTCAAAGCATTGAGCCAGGCCGGCGGCCTGGCAGCGTTCATCCTGCCTGGCCGCGGCCACCATGATCCTGGCGGCCAGGGGGAGGGGGGAAACGTCCCGGCGGGCGGGCAGTCGATTCGGACCGAGCCTCGAGCCACGCCTTGTTGAGGTTGGCCAATCGAGCGCGGGCTTGTTGCGTGTGCCGAGAAGGCCCCCCCCCCGGGGCGCCGCTTTGACCGATTGGTTCGAAGATAACCGCTGCAAGGGCGACCCCGCCAGTCGGCACTTCAGTGAGCGAAACAACGCGGTGTTGGTCCCCTTCGCTGTCACATCCGAGTCGCGAGGGGCGACTGCGGCCATTCACCCCTCACGTAATGTAGCGATGAGGAGTGGACAAGTTTGGTGTTGGAGCTGTACGTGCATTGGCAGTGTTGCCAACGGAGGGGGGCCACCCAGGAGTGCCGTGGCTGGAAAACCCCGTCGGGAGTTAATTTTTGAATCGATTGCACCGAAGCCTCCTCCCAAGGGCTATGAGTGCCCCCCCCCGAGTGGTTCACAGCGGAGCGAGAGATCGGGCACCTTGAAAAGAAGGTCGGTTCGAGCATGATCAAGTCCCGCTCGAAGCGTTAGCTTCAATGATCGTAATCTATCGAAAGCCCCCCCCCCAGAGTGTGTGGGGGGTGTAACCGTTCAGCTGTGGCATTTTTGATGATTTGTATGCTGCATTGTCCCTGTGTTTTCCTTCCTCTTCCGCTTCCTCTTCACTCCTCCCCCTCCTCTCCGTCTCTTCCTCCTCTTCCTCCTCCTCTTCCTCCCCCTCGTCCTCTTTCTCCTCTCCCCCCATCGCCCTCCTCCTCCTCCTCCTCCTGCTCCTCCCTCTCCTCGTTCTCGTCCTTATTTCTTTCCCTTTTCTCGTTGTCCCCCTCCTCCTTTTCCTGCTCCACCTCCTCCTCTTTTTCTCCCCTTTTTCCCCTGTTCCTCCTCTTCCCCCCCCTCTCTCCTCCTGCTGCTGCTGCTGCTGTTGCTGCTGCTGCTCCTCCTCCTCCTTTTCCTCCGCCTCCTCGTCCTCCTCCTCCTCCTCCTCCTCCTCCTTCTCATCTTCCCTTTCCTCCTTCTCGTCCTCCTCGTCGTCGTCGTCGTCCTCCTCCTCCTCCTCTTTTCCTCCGCCTCCCCCTCCTCCTCCTCCTCCTCCTCCTCCTCCTCCTCCTCCTCCTCCTCCTCCTCCTCCTCCTCCTTCCTCCTCCCCCCCCCTCCCCCTCCCCTCCTCCCCTCGTCCTCCTCGTCCTGCTGCTCCTCCTCCTCCTCCTCCTCCTCCTTCCTCCTCCTCCTCCTCCTCCTCCTCCTCCTCCTCCTCCTCCTCCTCCTCCTCCTCTCCCCCTCATCTGCGGTGCTAGCCCCCCTGACGGGCAGCGGTCTCCTCTCGCCCACGGGCGGGCCCTCTTACGCCCCTTCGCCCTCCGTGCTCGAGCTGGTGTGCGCCTCCCTCCCCCGCTCCGAAGGTCAGCAACGTCGACCCGCTCGCCTGGCGGGGCACGCAGCCGGGGGAGGACACCGCGGCCACCGCGCGCCCCTCGCGGCGCGGCGACCCGTGGGCTTTGCGGCGGGGGTTCCGCTGCGTGCTCGGCAGTCCTCTCTCGGGTGGCAACGAGGGCGAGGGGGGGTGGATGACTAGGGGGGGTATCATGGCTGGGGCCATGACACCTCCCCTGACGTCATCGCACCTTCTCTTGTTGCAGTGCGTCCCCTGGCCCCCTTCCCTAGGCCGTGCGCGTGCCGCGGGCCATGATTTGCGCCCCCCCTCCTGGACGCCCCCCTCCTCGACGCCCCCCGATCCTCTTCTTGTCGTCATCGTCGTCGTCGTCGTCGTCGTCGTCGCCGATGTCCAGACCGAAGACGAGCGTTAAACGAAAGCTCGCGAAGAGGCCGATCACGCCCTCTCCTGGGGCCCTTTTCAGGCCATTTTCGGGTGTCTGGGAATCCTCGTGGGGCTCCTTTGGGAAACTCGGGGCCATTCTGCGTCGTGGCTCGTACGGACCGTCTGGGCCGTACTGGCGAGCCCGGCGGCTGAGGAACGCAGCGGGCAGAGCAAGCTGGTTGCAGAGGCGCCAGGATTACAGAAGGATCTTTTGCGGATCGTGGAGGACACTGGCACGATCGAAGACTCCCGTGAAGTCTTTGCCACGTCCAAGTCGAGGTTTGACACGGAAGCCCCTGTCGCACAGAGTGGCAGCGGCCTTTTGGATCCAGACAGTGTTCGTTTTTCGCCTACGACCGACAAGCGATGCTGGAACTGGAAAGTTTCTAAGCGTATTTCCAGATGTGGATATATCAGATGCAGCAGCAGCAGCAGCAGCAGCAGCAGCAGCAGCAGCAGCAGCAGTACCGGAACGTGGTATTTCTGCTGCCCGAGGAGCGGCAGGTGCGATTGCTCTGCCGATGGATCTGGCAAGAGTCCAGGCAGTCGCTATAGATTTGCTTGAGGATCATGGAGGTGCCGCAGAGCCAATCGAACCAGTTCCCGTCGGTGCTGCTGACGGTAGCTTTCACAAGCCGCGACGGAAGGCCACAGGTGCACGGCAACGTGGCGAGGGAGCTAGCCGATGCCTTGGTCGTTTTAGGGGACGACTACATCCAAAGGACCATGAAGACGGTCAGTCAGTTCTCCGAGCAGGCCCTGTCAATGGCATGCGCCGTACGGGACTTGGAGAACAGCGGTACGAATGTCGGCAAAACGATTATGCTTGTCGCCAATTCTGATGCGCACGTTCGTGGGAAGATCGCAGGCCCGTGGGGAGAAGCTCGAAGACTTGGAGCGGTCGTGGCGAAGCTTGCACGTGACCTTCCGGACGTGAGAAGAGGGCGCCAGGCGACGCCCGCGTGGCGGACGACAGCTGCTGCGTTGAGCGCCGGGCTGAGTCCCCCAAAAAAGCGCCGGAAGGATATGAGATGGATGGCATCAGGAAGTGGATGGACAATGAAAACGCCGAACCAGAAGCAGTCACCAACGGCTTGCGGAGCGGCCAAGCTGGCGTCTTGAGGATGCTGATGTCGGGCGCTCAGGTTACAGTTCTGAGCCTGATCGCCCGGCGGCCGGAACCGAAGGACCGGCTAGAGCGTCAGTGTCGAGCAGTTGGTGTTCTCCCGCAGGACAGCTCTACGGTATTTTTTGCGATACCCGTTGGAATAGCGAATGCAAGTTCCGCGCGCTCGACTGGGTCGGGTACTGTCTTGGGCTGTCCAGGATCGACGAGATTCGAGAAGATGTGGTCTCCGTCGCGGAGCATGGTCGCCAGGCGCTGGGTGGATCTTGCCGGCCGAAAGGTTTCGTGTCTGCAGGCGTGGAGCTCGAGAAGGCGGGGCCGTTGCTGGGGAACGTCGTCGGGGCGCCGAAGCAGGCCCCGCCACCGTCGACAGCTGCGCGGCCCACGAGAAGTTGGAATTTTACCGGATGGGAGATGTTCTGAGGGGAGGATACCATGCAGATGAAGGGGTTCACCAGTTTCGAGAAGCCTTCCTCGCGAGGGGTAGCCCCCTTGGCGAGTTGGCTGCAGCGGGGCTGGCGCTAGCTGCGACGGGGTTTCCGAGCCCGACGGTTCATTCGTTTGAGCCGTTGAGCTGGGTGTGGGTGGGTGAGTGGGGGGACGCCGCGGGCATGCTTGCCGCGGTGGACCTTGCGATCGATTGGATGTGCGGCGTGGGCGCGATCGGCCTGGACATCATAGATCAGGTCGGGGGCGGTCTCGTGCAAATATTCCCGATACTTCGCGAGCTCGTGCAAATCATCGTGGAAACTCTTGGACAGTGCTTCGAGCTTCAAGTCGCAAGAGTTGGCGTGGGCTGGGCGAGGATCTGCGGCCTGTTTGATTTCTGGTCCAGAATCGTGGTCGCAGTCGTGGTCGTGATCTCTTTGGCGACGGTTAATTCGGACGGGTTGGAGCATGCCCCAGCTGCGAGTCGGGGGCGGCGATCGACGCGGCTCTTCTGACGGCGAGGGTCGTCCAGGATTAGATAGATGGTTCGCTGCGGCCAGCAGATTGCCCAGGATGGGGGCCGCTCGAACGCGGGGGCGTCGCGGGGGGGGCGGAGGTCGGAGCGACGGGGCCTGGCGAGGTGCTTGGATCGCCTCCCCTGCGCGAAGGGGGAACGAAGCCAGATGGGGAACGGAGGAATCGACGGGCCATGCGGGCTGCGACGGCGTCTCCATCACCGGGGCTGAGAAGCCCGCTCTCGACTCCGGGGAGGACGGCGGAGTCGCGCACCGCGCGGGTCAGTTGGGCCCGAGGAAGTTCGCGCGGGCGCGGCGCGTCCGGGGGCGGCCGCGACAATCTGAATGCGCGGCTTTCCGGCCCAGTGCAGGCCGCGATCTTCCGCGCCGGATTGCGTGGCCGCGTCGGCGCAGACCCAGGGCTCTTTCCGCAGCCAGTCGAGTGGCCGCGACCGACGTGGGTGCGGGCTTCCAAGGAACATTTCCAGGTTGCAGCGGGCTCGCGCGAGGCGCTGCGAGGGCCGCGCGACCCGAGGAAGCGATTGTGCATGAGATCGGAGGCGAGTGCTCGGGGAGCGAGGCGTCGGCTGGGCGGGGGCCGCCGCGCTTCGCATTGCGCGGGGTGGTTTTCGGATCGGATCTGTCGCGGTATATTTTCGAGTGGCTATGCGGAAAGGATGGGGCTGCGCGTTCGTTTCGCTTCGTTAATGATGGAGTTTTATCGAGGGGCGACGTCGGGCGACGTCTCGGCCGCGCGCCGAGAACGCTGGGGGGGCGACGGTTGATGACCGCCGCCCTTGCGCGACGCCGACCTGAATGTCCTTGTCCGAGATGCTTGTGATGGAAGATTGTCGAGGGGCTGTCCGGCCTCCGAGCGGCCAGTTGGCGCGGCGCTCAGCGCGCAGGCGCATCGGATGGGGGGGGTGAGGACTTCGTCTGCCGTCTTGAGGGCCCGTTTATTGAGTTGCTCCGAGCGGTGGAGAATTGGAGGCTGCGGGCTCGGACGTTGCCGCCGCGCCATCCTGCCGTCGGAGCGCTGGGGGGGCGGGGGGGGAGATCGACCCCGTCATGTCCGAGAGGGGGAACTGGCGCCAACGGAACAAGGTTGCGCGAGCAACCAGGAGATGGCCCACTTCTGCCAGGGCCGAATCGACCCCGCGTGCGCGGGGTCTGGCGAGAGGGGCGCCTTTGTTTTGCGATGGAAGTACTTTGGGCAGATGGCGTGGGGTGGGGCCAGGTTTTTCTACCCTCTGATGGAAACGGATTGCATTGAATGGGATTAGTTCTGCGACGACATGCTGAGCGAGTCGAAGTGCGATGTCTTTCGCAAGCTCCTGGCAGACGGCGGCCGCTTGCGCGGGGCCTCGCCGATGCGTTCGATGCGCGGACAGTCGCGCATCGGAACGCGCCGATGAAAAGGGGGCCGCGCGCGACGGGGGCGGGCTGCTGCGCCTCGCGGGAACGGCAGGCGCGAAGGAGAAGACATTGCTGGGCGCGAAGGAAGAGCTAGGGTTGTTCGGGGGGCCGAGGTCGGGCCTTCCCAGGCCGCCCAGGGCGCGCGCCCAGGCGAGGAGTTCAAGCGTGCCGCGTGGCAGGCGACGACGGAAGAGAAGGTGGTCTGGTTGAAAGAACGGGGAGCTAGCTACGCGGCCGCAGTCCGTCATTTCGGGGAACCAGGGGTGATGGGCAGGGGCGGGAGCGAGTACGGCCGCGCATTGAGCTCTGCGCTGTCCTCCCGGACTGGGAGGGCGCCGATGGCCGGATCTACGTGGCTGGCTCGGCGCGAGCCGCGCCAGGGCCCTGGCCCGCCGGTCGGACTCGCTCGCGGGGGGCGTGGGGGCGCGGGCCCCCGACCGAATAGGACCCACGATCGCGCAGAGCCTTCCGTCTTTCATGGCGAACGAGAAGGTCAATGGTCTGGGCGGGGGCGATGCCGAGGCGCTGGCCCTGCTGAGCGGGAAGCGGACCTATCGCGTGGTGGAGCCCATCTCCTGCCGCGCAGGAGCAGGGGGCGGAGTGGCGTTGCTCGTTTTCATTTTTGGCTTGCAGCCGATTGAGGAGGCCGCGGTGGCGCCCGCGCGAGCAGGCGCGAAAGTCGACGTGGTGCTGGGCGAGAAGGAGTTCAGTTCCGTGGGGCCATGCAAGGGCGCAGCAGAAATGCTCCGGGATATTTGTCGTGGAATCGAGCCCGATGAATACGGGGCCTCGAGCGAAGATGACCTGCTTCGCGCCTGGCCGAATGTTTTTTTTTTTGGTTGTTTTTTTCTTTCGTCGGAAGTGCGTGCAGAAGCGGGGGGGACATGGGGTGCCAACGGGAGAGGGGCTGCCCGTGCGAAGGTTCATTCGCCTTTCTCTCTTTCTGGTGGTCTACTCAGCGAATTGGGCGGCCGCGAGCCGTGGGGGCCATGAGGTTTCTTGCCTGTTCCAGTTGGGCCTGCGGAGCGTGGGGGTCACGGACCAGGCGCTCCGCGCGACGCGGGCGCTGGGGGAGGCTTTGGCCCTCCTGGATATGGGGGAGATGACCTGAAAGGGGGTCGCCCTCTGAGAGGTCATGGCCCGGCCGCTTGCGTTGCGTGTCCGGCCTCCCCCCCGTGGAGGCCGGAGCAGGCGCCGCGCGTTGTCTTGGCGCGGCGGCGCGGCGAGGGGCCCGTTTGGTCCTGCTGCCCGCCGTGCTGTTCTGAGGATTGGTTCCAGCAGTGCCAGCGGCCTGCCCTAGTGACCCGCCTGCGAGGCAGTCCCGCCGCGCGGGCTAGCGCGCTGCGGGCGCCATCTCTGTTTGGCGGGGTGGTGGAGCGGAGCGGTGGGGGCGGGTGGACATGCTGATGGGGGCGTGCTTTGCCGCTCCTTCCCCCGGCGCCCTTCTTTACTTGAGTCGACGACGACCGTTGGATTTTCGGATCGAGGTCCGAGGGCTTTGAGCGACCCCAAGGAAATTGCATTTTTTTGATGTGCGGCAATCTGCCCGACTGCCAGAAGATAAACATTTGCGTCGTATTGCCGTTGATCTTCCTGTCGTTGATCTTGTTAGTGATTAGGTATATCGCGATCTAGGCTGGGTAATCTGCCCTGGGCGAAGCCGCAAAGCTCGCCCTGGACGGAAGTGTCTCGGACGTCGAGACTGGAAGTTAGGATTTGTTTCAGCAGACCACTGAGTCTGATTCATGATCCTAGGCCCACTCCTAGGGAGGACTACCCTAGGCTTTCCCTCCTGGCCTACCCCAGTAGGCCTACCTTGGTAGGCCTGCCTCTGGGCCTACCCTAGCCCACTCCTAGCAGGGCAGTCTGCCCCTTTCTGAGGTCTATACCTGGAGGAGGAGGAGGAGGAGGAGGAGGAGGAGGAGGAGGAGGAGGAGGAGGAGGAGGAGGAGGAGGAGGTGTTGGGAGGCGGCCGCCCGTGGGCGCCAGGGTCCGTGCGCTTGCTGGCTCCGCCGAGGTTTCGCCCGGTGGCCGCCACTGGGCGCCTCCCGAGCGCCCTCTCCGCTGGCTGGGCACGCCGGGCTTTGTCAGGAGGGAAAAAACACACAGACACAATTAATCCTCGATTCCCAGGAAAATATGGGAAAATATGGGAATTGGGGGGGAAGACAAAAACCCAGAAAATATGGGAAAATATGGGGACTATTTTTATTTGTGTGTATTTATTTGTGTGTCCTAATTTCCCTTTACTTTGCCGAGGTTTCAGTATCGCCCCCGTCATTTCTGTCACACATCGAAGACGCCCATGGCGAACCGACGCCCCCTGCCTTTTGAAAACGCCCATGCGGCCAAACGTTGTGCCAGCATTTTGCGAAGTTCTCCAGGTAGATGTTCCCCCAGTCACTGTAAATCCTTTCGGATGAGCACCTGTGAGAGAAAGGGAAAGGAACATGATACGGAGGAGAAGGAGTACCTTTATGTTAGTCATGATGGTGATGGTGATGGTGATCATGATTGTAATGGTGATGCCTTGTTGATGTTGATATTGATTCTGACGAGGAGGATGAGGATGAGGATGTGGAGGGCTCTTGATACCGTATTGTGGCTTCCTTGGGTTTTTTCCAGGAGCTCATTATTATTTGGCCAATCCAGCTCCCGCCTTTTCGACTCCAGCTCACGATTTTGATTATTTAATCGCTTCGCTCATTCCACCGGCCCTGGAGCTCTCTTTAGGTTCTCTTGGGGGCCTCTTGGGGACCTCTTGGGAGTCTCTCGGGGCTCCTTTTCGGCGTCTTGGGGGCCCTCAGGGCCTCTTCGGTGACTTTTGGGGGCCTCCTGGGGCGGGAGTGGGGGTAGTCGATTGCGGCTCCCCCCTCGGAGGCCACGATCCTCGTGATGGGGTGTCGAATATGGCCTCCCCCTGGAGTGCTTTGGTGGCTTCTCCCGGGACCTTGCCGGGGTACTTTTCGTCCGGGGGCCCCCAGGGGCGAGCCGGACATCCACGATCTCCGGCAAGCAGTCCGCAGACACGGGGGTCTGACAGCAAACATGTTTGAAGCGAACGATGATTTACGCTAGCACAGGAACGCACTCAATGGAGCAATTTGGAACAGGCGTTCCTACGCCACACACAAAACACTGACCACAAGTTCCACATCTGCAACCGGGGGCCCCGGCCCGCCCGCGCCGGCCTTCCAGGCCCCGCCTCCCTGGCGGACTCAGGCGCGCCTTGCCCTTGCCTTGCCCAGTGTCATCGCTGTCCGCACCAGCGGCATCAACATTGTCGTCGCCATCGTCGTTTGCGTCGCGGTCTTCACCATCACCACTATTAGATCGCGTCTTTGAGGACGGACTTTTTGCGTGGTTGAGTTCCCCGCACCCGTTCGCTCGTTGATATTATGGCCGTATGAACTTTGTTGGCAAGTTGCCGGCAGGAGGATGGGATGTTCGCACGATCAGTGGAGTTGACGGTTTCAAGTCGTGTGGATTTTTTTTTTCAAAAGGACTCGGATCTACCCCCCCGGTTTTTTGTCCCCGCTCTTGGGGATATGCCATCACCATATGATTCTGACCCTCATTTTCAATATGAATTCGTATCATCCCAGCCAGGCCAGGCTCGACCCCCCCCGCCATCCTTTGCAAAAGAACGTTCCTTCAAACATCTGGTTCAACATTATCCTGGCGAAGGACCAAGCCATACGCAGACGTGGGTACCGCCGGTGTGAGAACCGCGATCGGTGGAACTCCTGATGGAACCGCGACATGCGTGAAGAGAGCGCCGAACTGGGGTGGGGCCGCCATGCGGGCGCTGCTGCTGGGATAGCCCGCAAGGGGCGTTGAGGTCAGCAATGGGGTGTGCCAAAATGAAGCGGTGGCGGCAGGCGGGCGCAACCACTGGGGCCGTAGGTGGAGATCCCTTTGGGGCCACGAAGCGTGCGAGGGGTGTGTCAAAATGAAGGGGGAGCGGCATGCGGGCGTAGCCACTACGGCTTTGAATGGAGCTCCCTGAGGAACCACGGAACGCGTGAGGGGTGTGCCAATGTGGAGGGGTGGCGGCATATGGGCTTGTGCCATTGGGGCCTTAGGTGGAGCTGCCACGAAGCGTGTGAGGGGGGTGCCAAAGTGAAGGGGTGGCGGCATGCGGGCGCAGCTACTACTACGTCCTCAGATGGAATTCTTTATGGGACCACGAAGCGGGTGACGGGTGTGCCAACATGAAGGGGTGGCGGCATTCGGGCGCAACCGCTGGGGCCTGAGGTGGAGCTCCCTGTGGGGTCACGAAGCGTGTGAGGGGTGTGCCAAAGCGAGGGGGTGGCGGCATGCGGGCACAGCCAATGGGTCTTTGAGTGGAGCTCCCTATGGGACCACGAAGCGTGTGAGGGGTGTACAACAATGAGGGGGGGCGGCATGCGGGCGCAGCCATTGAAGCCTGAGGTGGGGTTCCCTATGGGGCCACGAAGCGTGTGACGGGTGTACCAAAATGAGGGGTGGCAGCATGCGGGCGCAACCATTTGGGACCTTAGGTGGAGGTCCCTATGGGGCCACGAAGCGTGTGAGGAGTGTACCAAAATGAGGTGGTTGCGGCATGCAGGCGCAACCACTGGGGCTTGATGTGTAGCTCCCTATGGGGTCACGAAGCGTGTGAGTGGTGTGCCAAAGTGAAGGGGGTGACGGGAGGAGGGAGAAACGGAAGGAGGAGGGAAGAGCGGGAGGAGGAGGAGAGGAGAGGATAGCCAGAATGGCGTTCTCGCCCCAGCGCCGGCCACTATCCCGGATCCGAGTCCTTTTCATCGTTGTCGCCCCCCTCATTTTTTTTCTTCCGTCTTCACTTGGTCCTCCTGCTCTTTTCACTCCTTCAACACCAGTTCCTGCTCCTGTTGTTCGTCCTCTTCCTCCTCCTTCCTCATCTTCCCCCTGCTCTTCCTGCTTTTCCTCCTGCTCGCCCGCCAAATCCTCCTCCTGTATACGCAGCTCCCCTTTTCGGATTGCGCATAAGATGATGGGATTTTGTTGTTGGAGTTCCATGCCGGCTATGACACGCGTCTGAGGACAGCGAACAAGTCATCCCAATGGGAGGGGATAGGAGGGAGGGATATGATGTCAGATAAGGTGCGAGCTCACCTAGTTTGCACTCTCCTCTACCCCCTCCCTCCTTCCCTTCCCCGCACCCGTCCTCGCACGAAGGGGACCCGTTAACGAATAGTAGAAGGATAGGGAGGATGGGCAGGATGATGAGGAGGAGCAGGAGGAGGATCAGGAGGAGGAGGGAAGGAGGGAGGGAGGGAGGGAGGGAGGAAGGAGGAAGGCAGGAGGAAAAGGACGAGGAGGACGCGTGGGAGGATGGGGGAGAAGGTGGTGGGAGCAGGAGGAGGCTGCCGCTGCCGCCGTTGTCGTCGTCGTCGTCGTCGCCACCCCACCCGCCCGCCGGCAGGAGCCCTCGTGCGGGCCCGGTCGTGGGTGCCGCGGGGGCGGACTTCTCCTCGCGGGGTCGGCCGCCCCCCCTTCTCTGCGGCGCCGCCGCTGTGGTGATGGTGGTCGTCGTCGTCGTCGGCGTCCGGCGTCCGGCGTCCGTCGTCCGTCGTCCGTCGTCGTCGTCGTCGTCGTCGTCGTCGTCGTCGTCGTCGTCGTCGGTCGTCGTCGGTCGCTGTCCGTCCGTCCGTCCGTCCCTCGCCCGTGAAGGCAAACATGTCCACTGAAGGCAGAGTTGCTTGTCCACTGAAGGCAAAAAGAATTCCGCAGTGAGCTCACCGAAGGCAAAATTCGGTGCTCACATTTTCTCCCACAAAAAAAACTATGCCTCGAACCATCGCTTGCCCTCGCGGAGCTTGTGCCCCCGCAGGGCCTCGCCGCGGCCGCGGCCGCCTGCCCGTCCGTCCGTCCTCCTCGTCATTCTCGCCGCCCGCCCCCCGCAGGGCCTCTCCGCGGCCCGCCCCCCCCCCCCCCTCCCCGAAGATTCGGCGGCGAGCGAGGGGCGGGAAGCGAGAAGGGGCGGGCCTTCTCAGAAGGCTCGGAAGTCCCCCGGCCTTCTGGGAAGTCTTCTAGCCTGTCCACTCACCACCCACCAAACCACCCCAACCCAACCCGAAGGTCCAAATGTATCCTCGATTTCCAGTGGGGGGGGGGTCGGGGAACGTTGGAAAAACACATGGAACCCGTACCCCCCCCCAACCCGAAATTCGTGTCAAATTCGGGTCTTCGGGTTGGGTTGGGGTGGTTTGGTAGGTAGTCGTCCACGAAGGCACGAACCACGTCTCAGACGGCGCGAGGGCCTCCGGGAAGCCCCGCCGCCCTCTGAGAGGGCCTTCTCCTCCTCACTTCCTCCCCTCGCTCGACCCCGAAAGTTCCCTGCAGCCCCGGAGCCGGGGCCCCGGGGGCCCGGATGCCGCCTCCGCGGCCCCGCGGCCGCGCGCCGGGCGGCGGCGCCTGCCGCGCTCAGGCGGGGCGCCGCGCGGGTCCCTCGCCGTCTCCGCCGCCGCCGCCATCGCAGGGCCGCGTTTTTTTTTTTTTTTTTTTTTTTTTTTTTTTTTTTTTTTTTTTTTTTTTTTTTTTTTTTTTTTTTTTTTTTTTTTTTTTTTTTTTTTTAAATTTTAAATTTTATTATGTGTTTCAATTTTTTCCCTCATATATATATATACACATATATATATATATATGTTTTTTTGATAGTGGCAACCCATGCCAAGGAACACCCTGCTTGCCTCCAGGGTGCCCTGGGTTTCTTGGGTTTCGATGGTTTTGCCGTGGATAGCGCGACGCTCCCACGCCAAAGGTCAGTGGACATCCTGGGGTCCTGGAAGGCTTTCTTGTGGTCGAGCTCCTACCGTAGTGAGGATCCCTGCAGGGTCCATTTCGAGCCGATTCGATTCGATTCCGATTTTCGGGCGATCCGATGCGGCCCGACGCTTGCTTGGCGCTGTTGTGCATCCTGGCGTGGCCGGTCCGATTCGATTCCGACGCAGTGCCAATGCGTCCCGATTCGATGTTCGTGCCGATCCGATCCGATTTGCCGAGTCGATCCCGACTTCGGCTTGCTTAGAGAAGGCACATTTTCCCCGTAGACGGCTGCGGCCACACAATGCGAGACGTGATGATGATAATGATGATGATGATGATGATGATGATGATGATGATGATGATGATGATGATGATGATGATGGCATGGTGGCGATGATGCCGTTGGTGGTGGTGGTGATGACGGTGATGATGATAACATGCTGATGATGACGCCGTTGTTGGTGGTGGTGATGATGATGATGATAACCATGCTGACAATATAATGGTGACGATGCTGCTGCTGCTGATGATGATGATGATGAGGATGATAGCGATGATGATGCTGATGATGTGATAATGATGCTGCTGATGATGAGATTTCTGCAGATTACGATGAAGATGATGATGCTAATGATAGTGATGATGAAGCTGATGCTGAAGCTGATGCTGATATTGCTGATGAAACTGCTGATGATGCCGATGGTGATGATGCTGATGATGCTGATGATGACGATGATGCTGCTGGTGATGGTGATGCAGATTGTAATGACGGCGATGATGGTGATGATGCTGCTGATGATGAGGATGATGAGGATGAGGATGAGGATCAGGATGAGGATTACGACCATGAGTATACTGATGATGCTGATGATGCTGCTGATGATGATGCTGAGACTGGTGGACATGATGATGATGCTGCTGATGATGATGATGATGTTCATGGTGATGTTGATGATGATGCTACGTACGTGTGATGATGCTGCTGATGATGGTGACGATGAAGCTGCATGTGATGATGGGGAGGGTGATGATGACCATGAGCAGAGTGCTGCAGCAGATGATGATGATGATGGCGCTGATGATGGCGATGATGGTGATGTTGGTGGTAAACGTGATCATGTTGGTGATGCCGATGACGGCATTGCTGATCATGATCTTGATGCGGATGTTGATACAGATGATGGTGATAATGCTGATGATGAGTATGATGATAATGATGATCACCATTATAAGTAGGATGATGATTATGATGATGCTGAAGAAGATGATGAAGATGAAGATGATGCTGCTGCTGATGATGATGATGATGATGATGATGTTCATGATGATGATCATGATGATGATGATGATGATGATGATGCTGCTGATGATGATGATGATGATGACGATGCTGCTGCTGCTGCTGCTGCTGATGATGATGATGACGATGATGATGATGATGATGATGATGATGATGATGATGCTGCTGCTGATGCTGATGATGATGATGATGATGATGATGATGATGAGGAGGAGGAGGAGGAGGAGGAGGAGGAGGAGGAGGGGGGAGGAGGAGGAGGATGAGGATGAGGATGATGATGCTTATGCTCATGTTGCTGTTGATCAATACTAGAAAGTGGCAGAGGGGGATGAGCAGTGGAGGAGTGTGAGGAGGAGGAAGAGGAGGAAGAGGAGGAGGAGGAGGAGGAGAGGAGGAGGTGGAGGAGGAGGATGCTGAGGAGGAGGAGGAGGAGAGGAGGAGGAGGAGGAGGAGGAGGAGGAGGAGGAGGAGGAGGAGGAAAGGGATGAGGAGGAGGAGGAGGAGAAGGAGGGGAGGGGAGGAGGAAGAAGAGGAGGGGGAGGAGGAGGAGGAGGAGGAGGAGGAGGAGGAGGAGGAAGATGAAGAGGCGAAGGAGGAGGACGCGGAGGAGAAGGGGAGCAGAAGGAGGGAGAGGGTTTCGCAAGGGGGAAGGGACAAATGCGGAAGGAGGGGAAGGCAGGAGAGGAGAGGAAAGCGGAGGGGGAGGGGCCATTGCTTCCTCCTCCCCGGCTTCTCCTTCGCTCTGTCGCCTCCTTCCTTACATCTTCTTCCTTCTTGTTCTTCCACCCCCTTTGCTCTTCACACTTCCTTGGCTCCCTTGGTCGTTCGCGTCCCTGTGTTTGCTTGTCTGCCGTCATCTGTCGTCGTCGGTCTTCTGTCGTCTGTCGTCGTCGTCGTCGGTGTGTCGTTGACAGTCCTCGTCGTCGCCGTCGTCGTCGTCGTCGTCGTCGTCGTCGTCGTCGTCGTCGTCGTGCGTCCCTGCCCGTCTTCGTCGATGTCCTCTTCTGCCTGGACTTCGCTCCCCCGCGCGGTGCGCGCGCGAGGCCAGCCCAGAATCCAAGCCCCCCAGCGCCCCCCTCACTGGGGCTCTCCTCCTCTCTCCAGGCCTCCGACTTCGTGGACCCTCGGAGGTCTGGACGTCTTCCCTGGGACCAGGTTTTCATCCCAAGCCGTCTTCTGGCGGTCCCGCGTCCCGGCGAGGACCTCTGGAGGCCGAAAATGACGAAAAGCATGCCGTCGTGTCTTTTCACCACGCGAGGATGCCGGCGTCTGCCTCTCCCTCCTGCTTTCGCCCCTCCTGCGTTCCCGTCCTGCTGCAGGCGCGCGGCTGCGGCCTGGCTGGCCTCGTCTGCGCTGGCGCCGCCCTCTGGCGCGCCCGGAGCGCTCGGGAGAGTAAGGGGAGTAGGAGGGGGAGGAGGAAGAGGAGGAGGAGGAGGAGGAAGAGGAGGAGGACGAGGAGGAGGAGGAAGAGGAGGAGGAGGAGGACCAGTGTAAACCCTGGAGTCACCAACGATAGAAGAAACCCTCCCTCCAGGCTCCCTCTTCATAGGCCCCTACAACTGTTCATTTCCACAGAGGGAACTGCCTCGTTGGAAGACAGCCGTTTGAAGACCGTGAAGCATGCGAAAACATTGTTCTCGGGATGCCAACGCCACGGATCAACTTGATTGTTGCGTCTTTACGATCCAGAATCGTGCGGGTCCAGAGCAGTATGGGGGTTTGCTCGTGCGGCCGCGTTCGCTGCGAATCAACGTAATTATCTGTTAAGCTCTCATAATCCCGAATCCTTCCCAAACGCCATTTCTGGTACGTTGACCATGGGAATCCGTGAAACTCTTCTATGTTTAAACGAATGTGCCAATCTTTTTTTTTTTTTCTTCAAGCGGATGTTTGCGGCGCTACGGCGAGAGCCACATCTTGAGAACGGGTCGCCCCTAATGTGTTAAATTCTTGCGAATTCTTAAGACGAGTGTGCGCGGCACCATGGCGAGAGCCACATGTTGCAAACGACCCGCCCTCCATCCGTGAATCTTTTTGCTGTTTTTGAAGTTTCAGGGTCGTCAATGATGAGGAACTCTCAGGCGAAACGCCCGGACCGCCCTAAAACCTGGCATCGGGGTGCGACAGGGAGAAAGTGTTCATAAGGAAAAGGAATGGATGAGGAGGGGGAGGAGGAGGAGGAGGAGGAGGAGGAGGAGGAGGAGGAGGAGGAGGTGAAGGAGGAGGGGAAGGAGGGGAGGAGGATAAGGAGGTGTAGGAGGAGGAGGAGGGAGGAGGAGGAGGAGGAGGAGGAGGAGGAGAGGAGGAGGAGGAGGAGGAGGTGAGGAGCAGGAAGAGGAGGAGGAGGGAGGAGGAGGAGGACGAGGAGGAGGAGGCGGGGGGAGGAGGAAGGAAGAGGGGTTGGACGGGGATGAGGATCGGGAGGGGAGGGAAGGGGAAGGAGGAGTGAAGGAGGAGGAGTAGAAGGAGGAGGAGGAGGACGAGGATGGGGATGAGAGGAGGAGGGGGAGGAGGAGAGGAGGAGGAGGAGGAGGAGGAGGAGGAGGAGGAGGAGGAGGAGGAGGGAGGGAGGAGGAGGGAGGAGGAGGAGGAGGAGGAGGAGGAGGGGGAG